TATTTTATGAATAGATGTTCAAATTCAAACACTATTGAGTGATTATATGTACCAGCTAATCTATATCTTCTATACCTTCTACCCTAGAGCATAATTAATTTTTTTTAACATATTCTTAGAAGACATCAAATGTATTTCTCTCAAATACATCTACTTTGATTAAATACAAATTTCGACAAAATTTTTAATATTTTCTCGTTCTAAACATCATACAGTACTCATAATAAATCCCGGAGTATGTAAATATCAATGTAAAGTTGAACCGTTTCTCTACTAAATCCGTACTAAAGATAGAACTTGAAAACCGGTGATTGTATCCAACGACTGAAGCTTCATTGACTGAATCAATATTAGAATTAGATCTCAAACACTATTGTCTGGTAAGAAAAATAAAAGTGGTCTCGACCATTTTTTGAATAACTTCTGAACGGCAGAAGTAGCTAAAGAGCTGCAGTTTTCATCATTTGAAAGAGACAATACTAGGACACGTTTTTCTCTTATATTGTATAAGACGAAATCATTTCAAAATCGGTCATTTCTGCTAAATATTTAAAAAAATTCATGAAAACGCTCTGTCATTTCGATAAAATGTTGGTTATGATATGTGATTTGGATAGAGAGACCTTATTTCTATAGCTTAAGATATAATGTATGAATTTTTCTTACTTTTTATTAAAATTTCATTTGAAAGACAGATCATATTTGTGCCATTTACGATATTTTGTACAAAATGTTTGATTTTAATATTTATTGGAGAAAAGATGCCTTAGTATCGTCTCTTTCGACTTGTGAAAACCGCAGATCGCTAGCTGCTTTTGTTCTCAAGTTATTCAAAAAATGGTCGAGACCACTCTTTTCTAACAGACAGTACCTTCATCATCTATCTCAATAATTAAAGGTTTTTTCAATGTAATTAATTGAAATTTTAAATCCAATCATTTATTACATTTTAGATTCTTTTAGTTTCTTGTGAAACTTACGTTGAAGATGTTAGGAGCAGCAAGCTTCATAATATCTATGAGATAGCTTTAAAAAACCTTTGATTATTAAGATAGAAGATGGAAATAGTGTTTCAGCTCTAATTCCATTTTAATTCAGTCAATGAAGTTCAAGTCGTTGAGTACAATCACAGTTTTTTCGAATTCTATCTTTAATACACATTTGATGAAAAACGGTTTAACTTTACCTTAGTGACCACGAGCATTTTTTGAATAACTTTTGATAGGAACGGGATAACTACTTTCCTAAAGGTTTAGTCAAAAAAATTTTCAAAGAATTTCTTTTTTTCCTAAGTTAAGAGAGTGACTTTTCTATTCAAATACTATAAAAATTTACATTTTTCGATTATTTTGTTCAAACAATGATGAGATCGGAAATTCTGTTCCAATGGTTTCGATATCCATAGTGGTAATAGTAAAAACTAACGTCTCGATATGGTTTTGTAGTCCTTCCTTTGGAGATTGCATCACACTCCTAAAAATCAATAAATTACTATTGTAACCATGAAAAGCTTGTTGTTTTTCTTGAAGTTTTATATAAAGTCTATAGGATAGTAGTTAGAAAAGTTTTTCTATGTATATATATATATAATTCGATATATATTCATCTGCTCTTTCCAACGATAAAAATCGCAAATCTCTATTTGGTTCCTATCAAAAACTATTCAAAAAATTTCTACTGCGATTTAGCACTGGAATAGATATTAAATACTAATCAGTTAATTAGATTTGCGACTACTAATAATATTGAGGCTGTGGCTGCGGGTGTAAATGAATTGAAGATCTGTATTGACACGTACGCACACACACCCTCTAATGAAAGTGATGAATATGATCGGCCTATCTGAACAACAAATTTTCAACAGTCTGCTGCACCAGATTAAAATGCAGCCAAATGCAAAGAGTCAATCAACTCAACCAGTAGTTTCGACTCGACCACCTGATACTAATCAAAAGACATTAAGAGTTTTTATTGATCTTCACATATCGATAGAATTTTTATTATTGTAGAATTTATTTTAGTCAAAAAGATGTTAAAACAGTTGAACAAACTACTAATGCAATATCATCATCATCATTTTCATCTGAAAGTAAGTTATTGAACTTTTCTAATTGTGAAATATGCGAGTAAGAGTATGATCGAGTGTTTTCATACGAAAGAAATCAAATAAAAGCAATTGCTCGGTACTGTTTAATAGTTGCTATACTATATTATAAGTTATAATTCTGCAAGCGCCGACTTATGAATTAGCAAGGGTGTGGGTGTGGGTGTGGGTGTGGGTGGGCGGGGGGTGGGGTGAACCTGCGTGTGTGTGGAGTGTGTCTCTTTATCACTCCAAGTACACCCACACCCACACCCATCCACACCCACACCCATCCACACCCACACCCACCCACACCCACACCCACCCCACATCCACCCCACACCCACATCCACACCCACACCCACACCCACCCTCATTATTTTGCTTAAGTACTTGTATTTGTTTATTAGATTGTGATATTTTTTGAGAAAATCTATTGTAAAAAATATTAATAGAAGGATTTTCTGCTGTATAATAAGCAGGTACATTGTAACTAATAGTTGCAAAATCAAGAAATCTATCATTATCAAAGTCAGCAATAGCAATTCTAGCAGCCGATTCATCACTCACTTTCCATTTGGCAAATAAACCATTCGTGAGATCTATTGGCTTATAAAGATAAACACCTTGATTTGGAGATGGTCCACGAAGTGCAACTAAAATTCATCATTTCCATCATTATCAAAATCAGCACAAACAAGATGATGTGCTGGACCTTCACCATTTTCATTAGGATATCCATAAATATCAAGTATATATCTTTTCCATTGATTTTCTTTCGAACTATTATTTATATAGGCCGAAATCACATTTCTATGAAAAGGTTCAATAGCAGGCATATAAGCAAGAGAATCATTTCCGACTCGTCCTACATCAAGACCACCACTACCATAATAAGTTGTTTGTTGTTTTTCTTCTTGTTCACCATCTCCAATATTTTTAATTATCCATTCTCTTAAATCTTTATTAAAATAAAGCCAATTAATACCTTCACTTGATGCAATAAGAAGATTATCTAAATGACCATCATTGAATCGTTTTGCATCATGAATTAAATGAAAAAATTGCTCATTAATTATTTCATAAGGCCATTCTGTAGCATTCAATACATTAGCAGGTTGTCGAAATAATAGTACAGGTACTGGTGAAAGTAAATCATATGGTTTACTGACAATAGGTAATCCTAAAATTTCCCAACGTTTAGTTTGTGTAAAATGACCAACTTTAAGTCTATGCATAGCTGTCGATCTTCCAACATAATGCATTTTCCATGGTTTTTTAACAATATTTTCTCCAGGATTTTTTCCAGCCATATAATCTTTCCTCCTTCAGGATCAGTATCTAACATTGTTTTCCCATATTGAAAACAAATAATAATGTCATTAATACCATTACCTGTTATATCAGCTTGATCCATGGCTACAGGACCATTTAGTTTTTGAATAAGAATAGCCTTTTCTGTTTCATTAGTTCTAGATGGATTTTGATAAAAATTTATCTCTCCCCTAGCAAGTCCATAAGCTTCTAATCCAATAGGACTTCGATTATCTATTTGAAAAGCATCAAGCCAGTATCCATCTTGACGATTTTCTTCGATCAATTTCTTCTCAAAAATAGGACTATAACTTCCATAATCACGATTGAATTGAATAACAGAATTCTCTACTATTTCTAATACCTAATTATAAGAAAAAATTAATCAAAGTCATTGATATTTTATGTTTTTCTATTATATAAATGAACAAAAATATATTATTTTGTTTGAAACTAAAGATTTATAGTCAAGAGAATAATTTTTCATGAGTCTCATTTAAAAGGGAATAAAAAATCATTTATAACTATGACGATATCATTTTGAAATAACTGTAAAGTTCTTAGTCGATACAGACAGTATTCCTCAACAGAATATATATTCACTTGCTCAAAAATATTTTCAGCGTCTAGCTGCTGGATTAATCACAGCAAATCATTATTTTATTACTTCAAAAACTAGTTAGTTTCTACAAATCTGTTTTTGGGCTACTGTTATCTATTTTCTAACTATAATTTTTGGCAGAATTTGCTGTGAGACATCTATTTCTATTATTTTGAAATAGATGAAGTTAGAAGTTCACAGGGAATTTCCATAAGATCACACCATTGAAATAAGTCTATGATATCACAAAATACGATATCAGAAATCACAAGATTCCTGAATGTTTCATTATTTCGACTGTCTCATGTACAAAAAAAATTCTAATAAAAGAAATCAAATCTATAAAGTTACCGTTATTTGTAGCAGCAATAGTAGTCTCAATATTGGAAAAAGATTCATTGAATTGAAACTCATATATAAAAGATCTAAATAGAAAAAAAGTATAGATTCAAGTGGTTTTTTCACTGAACATATCATGTAAAATACTAAGGAATGTTAAGCATATATACAGAGAACTAATATATAATTAACAATATAGAAACATGAAACATATATCTGAATCTATGATTCAGTTATAGTTGGAAAAGAATTTTACTATAGATAAATAACTAATTTTATCTAACAATGTTGAGTTAGATAGAAAATACAGTTTTTATCTCATGGATCGGATGCCGGTCTTTTTGTCAGCAAATGTTGATCAACTCTTTATAATAATATAGATACTCATCCACATCCAAAATAACATTCAGCATCCATGCAATACTTTCTAAAATTCTCATGCTTAATATATTACAATTTATCAGAAGTCAAAAAAAATACTAGCTGAGATCATTCTGATATCGATACATTATTACTAGAATATCGACTCATCTAATAAACATGTGTTTCTGGATTAGACGATATTTGATCGATACCTCTTGAATATCAGATACAAAATTGTATCGAGTAGTGTCTTTTACTTAAAAAGAAATGGTAAATTATTCTATTTTGAAAGATTCAATCAAGTCCTTATAAATTATTCCATTAAGGAAGTATACATGCCTACGACATAATGAAAGTAAGTGCCATAGATGACGCATAGTAAATATAGACCAATTTTTTTTTGCATGAATTGGTTTCTTTTTCTTCCGTTTTTATTATTTACGATGCAACATGAGATAATATTATATTATTTTCTATATCAAGTATGAATGAAGAAGAAAAACAATAAGCAACTTGATTTTGTGTAGGCTTCTAGCATGAAAGTAACGCCAGAAAATCTATGCTTTTGATATGTACATACATGTATATAAAGAAGAAGTCAAAGATCAAATTTTCATCTTAAATCATTCGCAGTATTACACATACAAATATGAAATGAAATCCAAAAATATTAAGACGATTCTTCAGTGAACAACGACATCGAAATTATGGTAATATCAATGAAGAAAATGAGACAAAGAAAATATTCTTATCTTCATTTAAATAATATTTTCTAGTATCTGTTAGACAGGAACAACAATTAAAGAAACATTTTCTTCGTCATCTCACATGGCAAACTCAATAGAAACTACAGAAATTGATTTTCACTTCGATTAAATCATCACATACTCTTGGTGAAATAGGTCAAATTTATCATCGCAATATGAAATCCGATAATTAGAGATTCTGCTCGAATTTTTTATTCAATTTTCTACTTTGATTGATCATAACACTTCCATTTTGCATACCTTTTCTATCTAACAATCTTGCTTACTATTAATTAACATCTATTCAAAGTGGAGTCATTTTCATTGCAATTGAGTTTTGGGCAATTTTCTTCTTTTTAGCTATTGCCTCTAGATTTGATTGCAAACTGAAGCTCACCGAATAACGATGATTATCTCATTTGAAGAGCAAACATTGGATAAAGAAAAATTTCACAGCTGTGGCTTCAAACGGATTATTTTTACAAATCACACATACAAAGTAACGAACGAAATACCAAGAAAATGTTCAAATGCAAATAATGTTCATCACTAAGCACAGCACAAAAAAGTGAATTTTGTTCACCCCGTCTATCACAGTATTGAGTGGATCCACATCAGGAGAAATAATGGAAAAGGAAATTGTAACGATAAGATGATTCTATCGTAATATCGAACTAGGAAGATATGTAACGACAAACTGGATTGGAGTGGCTTGCCACCACTCGGCAATGATGTTTATTAACTACTTCGCATATCCAGAGTGTAACAACTTCATACATAACACACATATATATAGGAGAGAGATATATTAGAACAACGGAAAGAGAATAGACAGAGAAAGAAGGAGAATCATCGAACTGTGTCGTCAATATCGGCACAGAAATCACCGAATAAGCAGGACAAGCACGCCGCTCGCCAATTGGAGCAGTCAAAATATTTCATCAATTTATCATCAAATCAAACCGTATACCAGCAATAGCTGCATTTTCTTGGGATAGCGTTTTTTCGTTTATTCATTACTCGAATTTTACGCATTACATGAAGTTGTCATTTTTGGTCAAAAAGACAGTATGCAAAACATGACGCATAAAAAAAAGAAGCTATCACAAATTAATAATACATGAAAAATATTTCATGCAGTCTTATTTATAAACAAAAACCAATTAGATTGTAACATAGAGTCTTATTACATTAAATAATAATCAATGCTAATCCTATTATAAATTTTCAAAGAAGTCTGTTCAAAGAGAAATGGCAACTCTTACAAAATAAACCTTTCCTAACCTTAAAAGGCTATGAACGGAGTTCGTTCTTTTTATTAATATATCAATCCTTAGGTAAAGCTACTTTTCATTTCTATTAATGAACAAAATATTAAAGAATTCAGGAATGCAAGAAAGAAGTAAATGTGTGAGGATTGGATTAATGACCTGTGTTCATTCTATCAATTCATTCTAGAATATTATGAAGTTAAGTAGTAGTCATCTATAATTCAAAATCGATTATTAATTGAATGAAAATAGATAAATTAAAGAACAAAGTTAGATCATTCCATTTTGTGTTTGATGAATATCTGTCTACAAAACGAATCTCGGCTAGAAAAATCTCTATCATTTTCTTAGAAAGGAATCTACTATAATTTTCAACTAGTATAGCTAAAAATTTATAAACAATATTGATGACATGAATCAAATACTTCAATCATCGATATGCATGTGAGTTAAAGTCTGATCTTCATTCTGGAAGATCAAGAGAATACTGAGATTGTTTTTATCTTGGTTACATAACTGCGATGTTTATGTAGTTTTTTTGAGATTGAGTAAAAGTTTTAAAAATGACTTTATTAATTGTTGTCAGGTTGATGAAATCGGACGTTGAATCTGAGTGTGAGTTTCTTCTACATCATACTTGTCCCTAAACTAAAATGTGTTAAACTTGAACTCTGCTATTGTATTCGAAATAGAATATTTATCAGTAGATTTTCATTTCTATTCAGTTATTGAAATTATATCGAAAGCATATGTAACTTCTAAAACGATTGAAAAACTTTCTATGAAAATGGATTTATCAGTACAAAGTCTGAAACTACAAGAAACATTCATGGAAGAAAGAGCAAATTGATATTGGATGGTACCGGTTTTTGTAAAATATTATACGTTTCATGGAATTTACTTTCTGGCTTTAATGCTCAGATATAATAGTTCTTCGGAATACTTTCACATTTCAAAAATAAGTTAAATTAAACAAGCGTCTAATGCTGTAATGTTCGAAATTAAAGGAATGAAAACTGTTTATTGCTTTGAGTATCTCATACAGCGAAAAGAACATGAAGATACAATTAACAGAATACAATATATCAAGAGTTTTACAGTAGTTTTATCATGTATCATACCGATATGAATAGATAGCTAGTATTAATCTAAGAAGTAAACAACTCATGTTTAGTTTTACTATTTTGGACGTTTATTAACCTTTTTCTTTGTGCTATTGAAATTTTATTTCTGATAAGTTAAAAGTAATTGTTTCATCGTCGATTAATTCTTTAGGAGAGTCGAAGACCCAAATCTTATTGTTTCAATCTGCTCAACTAATCTCTAAAAAGATATCACTCTTCATCAAATGTTATACGAAGAGTTTTTATAGAACTAACTTAAAAATAACAAAGTCGAAATCAAATTGTTTTTCTGAAACATAACATCCGAGTAATAGAATCGAAGACCTACTTTCATCTCTATGATTGTTATTCCATACTTTACCATTCGATTTATCTACATTTCTGATGATACTCATATCTACTAACAATAAAAAAAGTAATTAGCAACGATAGCAAATAGGTAATTGCGAAAATTGAGGAATTCAATACTTCAATATTGACTAATAATCGAAACATCAAAAACAAATCAGTTTAATTTCAGCTTTCTATAGAGAACTGAAACTTACAGAAATAATTCATCTTTATCAGACCGATATACGTCATAAAAATTTTATTTCTTTATCTCAGAGAGAAGTACGAAATAATATCAATAATAATTTATTGTCAATTCTTATTAAACAGCATGTTTCTAGATCTAATCATAATATCCAATTACATAGTTCGATGATTTGATGTGAAATATATGAAAAACTAATGAATTACGCATCACTTAGTGCTATTTTATGAAAAACTTCGATTCTCAAATCGTCAAAAAAATTGCTTTTCCTGTGAATGATTCACTTTTCATTTCAATCATTGCTTACAGCGATTTTATTTTTTTTGATACTTGTAGTCGACAATCAAACTTGATTAATATTTATGAATCAATAAAAATGCAAAAATAAAATACATAAAACAACATCAACATTTAACTGCTCGACAGAGAAATACTCGGGTGTAGGCGTGGATATGAATATTTATCGTTTCTCCAATGACACCCACCCATACGCATAACCATATCTATACTGTCAAGTTCAAAAGTTAGGAATATCTTTGAACATCAAAGTTTTTTTTTCAAAGTATTTTTGAGATATGTGTTAGAAAGCGTTTCCTTGAATTGATAAAACCTAATAAAACACGATATACTAAAGAAAATATGTAGTTTCGATTTAAAAGAACAGATTACAATGAATAGAAGATTAAGTTTTGGGATATCTTTGTTATGACTTATAAGACTCATCAACTTGTGAATCCAAACTCGTTCTGTATTCAAGCGTAAAATTTTTATTTGAATCCAGATTCAGACCTCATCAATTAAAATAGAGGGTTTCAATATCATTGCTTAATTTTTATGGGTAGAGCCCCTCTGGTCCGAAACACTCCGAAAGTCGTTGAGAACCCAGTCAACTGGAATCTTTTTCCACTTGAACTGAAACTGGTTAAAGTCTGGTTCAGCTTGGAACCCGATAGACTTTTTAATCAGTAGGCATAGATTGTCTTAACTTAGAAACGCAGAGAAATCTTTGAAAAAAGTGACAATTTGGAAAAAAAAGATTTAATGGATCGTGGAAAGAGTATGGATATTAATCGAGTGTGATCAGCGACATCTACACTCACACCCTATACGGAACTTAAACAGGCTCTTGTTAGCAGAAATCCATTTCGTAATCTCGATCTATGAAAGAATTATGTTTACAGAGATTTTGAATTTTATTTCATCTTTTATTTCAGTACATCGAGAAGATTCCAAATTTTTTGGCGCATTGTGTTCGTATCACCATTGAAATTGTTAGTGATAATTGAAAAGACGTACTTATTAATATATCCAGCATACGAATATGCATTTTTAATATAACCACTTTTCATACGAATTCCATTAATAAGAGGTAATGCTTGTTGATATATAGAAAACCAGGATGCTCGTTGTATATTGAATAGGATACGTGCTAAAGCCCATGTTGTAACTCGATTTTCAGGTGATAAACCTGATCCATCAACAGTGGCTACTGCTGTTTCCTCAATATCATGTTCTTTTCGACAGTAGGTCGGTAGAACAGTGTCAACACTGGTATTAGTTGTGTGGGCGATCGTTTTGACTAACAATTCACCATACAGATTAATACTAGCTTGTTCTAACCAATAGACAATATCACTTAATGGTGGTGAATGATGAACATCAAGTGTAGTTCGATCTGATACTTCATTTATAGAAGCTTCTATGTTATGTATAAATGAAAGAGAAGTATTGCTCGACCAAAGCATTCTTTGACGAAGTTCATTTATAACACATAATCCTGAATTTGGTACAGCACCACCAATGGAAAAGTTTTTACCTGAATCAATAGCTAATGAGCCACGTAAATAACCATGCGTACCATCCAAAGACAAGTAGAAGTTTGTACGATCTCCTGTGCCTTGTGGACCAGTCAATGCTTGATTAACGATAATTAAATATGGCGGTGGATGATCCAGACCGACAAGAATGATAGGATCACCAACTGCATTTCCTGGCGAAAGAATAAGATGAAATTGATTTTCACGCCAGTTCAAAGCACTACTGCCTGTTCCATAATAATTCCTAGATGAAAAAAAAAAAATACAATGAAAATAAAAGAGTAGTAATAGTGAGTGTAATTGACAAACCCAATATCTTCCCATGGATATCCATCAGGAATAGATTGTGTGTCATCTGACCAAAGACTCATGTCAGCGATGATTCCTCGACATTTTTTGATACCTGTTTGTTTGATTAACATTGACCAGCGTTCCATAATTGCATCACCATTCGTTTCATTCCATCTGGAACTTCCGAGTGTTGGATCACCGTTTCCTACAAATGAAACAATTTCATACAGAAGTTTCTCTTTCAAACTATCTTTTATCTAGAATGACTAACCAACAATATAAATATATCCATCTAAATCTCCATAATCATCAAGAGTACCTGAATATTGTAATAAGGTTTCATATTGATAATTAAGACCCAAATAATGAAAAGCAGCTGCGCCTGTAATCGTTGTTAAAGTTGATGCAGGCGCAAGGCCTACCTCCTTGTTTGCTGCGAAAAAAACGGCTCCAGTGATATTATCGAGAACACTGATTGAATATGTAGCATGTGATAACTGTGGATCACTTGTAAAATTTGTCCATGCGATTGTAAAATTATTTGTTTGAGTATCACTTGTACTTTGTACAATGCACAAAGCTATGTCGAGAACTAAGAACCATATCTGAACATATAATCGAACAAAGTGAGAAATCTCTGAAGATTTATTTGTCAGTTTTCATTTGATCTTTTCATTTTATTTCAAATATTTCGGGGTTAGACTAATTCCAACGAAACTTTAGTGCTTTAATATTTGAAATAAAGATATCTGATTTTCAAGTCACATTCTGAAGCAATGAAATATGTATTAAAGCCTACATTTTAAATACAAAAAAAACCCTAACTTTTCGAAGCAGGTTGAATTTGAAAATTTTTATGTATACGGTGTGTTGTGAAAAATACTGTTTTCGTAGGCGATACTACAATGATCTCATTGCTTCTACTCTCATGAACAATAGGTTTTCTCAAATAGTCTAAAAAAAACACATTCGTTCAAGTTACTCTGGATATACATCAGCAGGAAACATCTCTAGTGAAGCCACGCACCTGCTATATATAATCACCATAATGAAACTGTAATCTTGAAGATGAGATGAAAATTTCTAAACTTTCATTCCTAAGACATGAAATATTTCTAGGAGTATAACCTTCGCAATAAACGTTCACATTACATATTTGTATATCAGAACTTTTCTCTGAGAGTTACTCTGTTCTTATAACCTTCCATACAGATCGAAAAGAAAAATTTTCATATATATTACATACCATTATTGCGAATTAGTTCGATATCTTTGATGAAATGATAGAATCCTATTGTTTTGTTTATGCGTGTTGCTATTTCTTATCAGAAAGATATCTTAACGACGATAGAGCATCTATCATGTCTACTAACATGAAAAAAGCACGTGGAGAAACTAACACAACACTGCTTATCATAATGAATGTGTGAATAAAAAGAGGTTGAAGTCCAACACCAATCAGTCTCTGGTCATTTTCAAGTTGTGTCCATCTTCGCTAAATTTAGTAAGAAAGACTGCTTGATGGCATTTAAAGAGCTCAAATTTAGATCAGTTATTTTTCTCTCTAAAAATGATACTAGAGAGCTTCTGGTCTACATGGTTTTCGACTTGAGCTCGAACTAGACCTGGCAATAAATTAACGCTTAGATCTGAAATCTAACGCGATTCAGTCTCTATCTGGACAAATCGAAGTTCACTAGGAAGTCAAGATAATAGAAATGCTCACATCTCGAACCACAATCACATCTTCACTCCACACCCACATCCGCGCCCTTCTGAAGTAGTCGTATACAGTTTGCCGAAGTTTTTAGATTGATTCTTTCACGAATCTTATTTTTAGCGAAAAGTCTTTTTGTGTATTCAGAAAGTGAGTAGGGTGTGGGGTGTGGGTGTGGGGTGTGGGTGTGGGTGTGGATGTGGGTGGGTGTGGGTGCATATTCTCTCTTAATCATACACACTCACGCCCCACACCCACAACCACACTCATCCACCCACACCCACCCACACCCCCACCCACACCCCCACCCCCCCCCCCCCCCACCCCCACCCCCCACCCCCCCCCCCCCCCCCACCCCCCCCAACACCCCCCCCCACACCCAATA